ACACACACACACACACACACACACACACACACACACCACTTGTGATACTGCAGCACGGAGCCCGGCATCCCCTCTCCTCCCTCCCCTCCCCTCCCAGCCGTGTGTACGTGCAGGACTGCGGCATCAGCCCGCTGCTTACTTTGGGGTCCTTCTCATAGTAGTGCTGCTGCGTGCGGATCCAGCGGCCCACCAGGTGATCGCGCACCGTGTTGGCCAGGGCGAAGTAGTAGTCCCGCTTGGTGGCCACGTTCCGGTCCTTCACCAGCGTGAAGTGGAGGTGACGGTTGAAGTTCGTCTTCAGGTCCGTGACGTTCTCCACGCCGGCCAGTCCCCGCACGGAGATCTGCTTCCTCTTGTCCTGGTCCGTCAGCGGCTTCGCCATGGTTGCGGTCTTCCGCGTTGTCCGGAGGTTCCCGTTGAATGTCAGAGAGGGGGGGAGCCGCAGGTCGAGTGTTTCTCTCCCGTCTCTCCCTCTCTCTTCCTCCGCTGAATGAGCACAGACACCAGGGGGGGAGGGGGGGGGGGAGGCGGACCAGCCCACTTTATATGTCACGTTCTCACTGTCAAGCCGCACCAACCGTTTCCGACGTAGTCTTTCAAAATAAAAGTTGCGTCAACTCGCAAACCTGTAACATTAGTAAGTGCGTCACAGGCCCCTGTCACCACTTTATATTCTAAACAGCAGATGAATACATAAATCCGAATTACAGCTAGTTTTAACTGATCTGATATGTGAAGGGAATATTTGCACTCATTATCTCCTCACCACTGTGCACATGGAGGATTGGGTGAAGTGTTTGAGTTCACATTTGAGGTTTCAGGGGTGAACTGTTGCAGACAACTCCACTGCAATTGTAGTAAATGGTGATTCTTCAAACAATTTAAAAGAAAATTGATTAAACATGTTTTTAGCCTGAATGTTGGCTGTGATCAGCGCGTGAACGTGGCTCCAGAGGAGATCAGAGGACATTTTGGCTAAAATCATGGTGTAAATGATGCTGGTTAAAGTTGAGTTTGAATGTCGTGGCTTATGGGTAGTGTTTTTCTCAAGTTTGAAGAATTTGTCGCCATTTACATCGATTTGGCTGCAACATTGTTTACCCCTGAAACTCCTGGGGGATCTCGTCCCAGATCTGGATCAGGACGTCAGTGAGCTCCTGCACAGTCTGTGGCGGTACTTGGCCGCATCTGATGCACTGATACGTAACGTCCCATAGGTGCTCAGTTGGATCAAGGGCCAGTCAATGGCATCAATGCCTTCATCATCAAGGAACTACCTACACACTCTGGCCGCATGAGGCCGGGCATTGTCCTGCACCAGCGTAAGGTCTGGCAATCTCTCTGAGGGTCCCACTAGAGGTCGTCAGGCTCTCATGGAGTCTGTTTCTGACAGTTTGGTCAGAAACATGCACACCTGTAGCCTGCTGGAGGTCATTTTGTAGAGCTCTGGCAGTGCTCCTCCTGTTCCTCCTCGCACAAAGGAGCAGATACCCGTCCTGCTCTCTTTGTGTATCTGCCAGTCTCTTGGTATCTCCTCCGTGCTCTTTGAGAATGTTCTGGGAGAGACAGCAAATCTTCTCGGGACCACAGGTCGCTTCCTGGAGAAGCTGGACTTCCTGATCAGGCTGAAGATACCGCCTCATGCTACTAGTAGTGATGAGGACACAAGAATAAAGAAGAATTAGTCAGGAAGGACAAAGAGAGAGCAGCTGTCTGAGGCCAGCACATGTAAAACCATTCCCTTTTGGGGGTTGTCTTGATTTTGCTTCTCCATTGCACCTGTCGTCACTTTAATTTGCACCAAAGCAGGTGAAACTGATTCATCATCACTCGTGCTTCCTAAATGGACAGATTGATATCCCTGAAACTTGCTGTACTTGTTATACTGTGACGATTTAGTGTTCCCTTCATTATCTGAGCAGTGTGTATTAACATTAAAGTCCCTGTTTGGTTTGTGTTTATTTTCAATAACATCCGTTTGGTTGTTGAGGAAAAACAACTGTTTTGCCATTGTTTTAAACTGAAATCACAGATTATAAAATGACACCCTGACAAACAAACTAATATGTAGGCTTGTTCTTATGCAACAGTCTGAGGAAGAAAAAAAAACAGGGTCATCTCACACTTTCACATTTGCAGACTGTGAGATAAGGGCATCTTAGTTTTCATCAGCTAAGTGTTTGCTCAGTGGTGACTAAACAAAACACATAAATACTCAACAACACAAACCAATTACTACATTTTTGGGACTTCCGAATATAAATCATTATTTGTAATAAACAGTTTGCTCAGTTGACATCCAGTGACCTAAATATAGGACGTATCGCAAGTGGTTGTACTGAATATAGACGTGTACGTTTAATGGCACCTGACCAAACTGCATCCGGTGAGCACGACCACAGGATGTGATACAAGGCTAGGAAACATTTGAAAACTTGCTACGTGATGTGGTAACAGTTAAACCATCTTTATGGCGCCAGAGCCAATGATTATGTTTCAGTAATGAACTATGCAATGCAGTTTAAAGTTCAAAAAGCTAGTAAGCGCACCATGAGATATTATTACCTAAATGCCAGAGTATATATATATATATATGTATATTTTTTTAATCTTATTGATGAAGTGGTGCTTCACTTTGCACAGAATTGAATTTACAATTTTACTTGTTGCTCATGTAATTTTTCAATCTGAAATCGTTAAGCAACAAAAATGATTAAAATGTGATGTGAGTTAATTAAACAATTATTCGGTCTGTCCCAATTCTCATCACCATTACTGCTCCATTCGGAATTTAAATATAAAACCATAAAGACTGCTGTTGATGTCAATGGGCAGATACTCTACCTACTTTCACATGAGTGTTTTAAACACTGTGCATGTCTCTTTAAGTGAAGGCTTCCTGCAGAGTTGAAAAGCAGAACACCCCGCTAGACAAAACGCTTGTTATGCAATGTGTAAAGGAGGCAGCCTAAAAGGCCTTGCACCAAAAAAAGAAAAAGTAAACTGACAGTCTTGCATCCCTGAAATGAGAGACCAGTCTGCACAAAAGGACAAAAAGGTGAAATGGATCAGTTTAATTCTAAACCAAGCAAGATTTCCACAGATATTCATTCAGGCTAGGGCCATAACACAGACTAATTCCAGAAAGAGAGTAAAACTAAAACTTTTCCTCTCCAATAACTCGATTGACAAAACTGATACTTTCATCCTCGCAGAAGCAACACAAACACTGCACACAGCATCTTATCAGAGCAGAGAGATGCAGAGAAACAAGGATATATATCAGATTCCCAACATTCAAGTAGTGCAGAGGGTCAGACGCCAGCAGACTGCAGCACCAAAGCCCCTTTTCAAACTCAGTGTCACAACTGAGATGCAGACAGTTAACAAAGGAGAAAAAGAACAAATTTAAAAAAAAAAACCTGGGAATTTCTGGAAATTAATCTGAGACAGTACTACAGAAAGGTTTTTCTGACAGAACTAAGATGCACTTCACATCACATTATTACAAAAATATTAATCTTATTCAACTCAAAGCCAACATGAGGATGACAGGAATACAAATGTGGTGTTTAAAATTAAACATGCAAACTGAAGTTCAATATCTGAAATGCAATGAATGTCGTGTTTTCAGATTTGTAGCTGGTTATGAAGCAGTTAATTTGGTAACCAAGTAGCATGACAAAGTATTGTAGCGTAGCAGAACACGTGGCCAGGAGCGTCTTTTGTATGCACACAAGGATCTTTGTATTTATGTGAATTTAAAAACAGGAAAAATAACTAAGTTACACAAGTTTACAAATTGAGCTAACAGCCTTTCAATAATTCAGAGATGTCTTCACAATATCAAGGATCAATAAAAAATAAAGCACTGGTTATATTTTTTTCTGTGAGCACACACACAGAAATGCTCTATATAACATCAGTCCATTGGATACAATTGAACAATGTGCTGCAGCGTTGAAACTCTTCCGGGAGGATGGTTCTTCTGTGGCAGGCTTAATTCTGGGGTGGGGGAGGTGGGGGGGCAGGAGGCATGCCGAAGGGGGGCATGCCTGGTACCCCCATCCCCATCATGGTGACAAAGTTGGAAGGGTCCATGGGTGGTGGGGGTGGTGGTGGTGCATACATCATGCCGGTTGAGCCTGGAGGTGGTGGAGGGGGAGGAGGAGGGGCGCCAGGGGGCAACGGGGGCTGGACGCCAGGGGGAGGCGGAACCATGGATGGGGTGCCCATAGGTGGTGGGGGCTGGGCTCCTGAGGCTGCAGGCTGCTGGGGCTGCTGCCATGGAGGCAGGGTGCCAGTGCCAGGGCTGGACGTAGTGGTGGTATCTGCAGGGAGTAAAAAGAGGTTAACTCTTTACTGACAGCAATTACGTTAATCCCCCCCCCAAAAAATTCTGTCAATCAGATCATCTGGCTCCAGAAAGATCATGAGTATTGCTGCTTTCAGACATGCATTGAACTCAGAAATACTCCGGGGGGGCTGTTATGAAGTCCACAGAAAGCGCGGTGAAGCTGATGTGAGAGGTCATGAAATCGGCTTATGTGATGTTTTGTAGTTTGTAAAGCCAGATGACACGCACTGAAAACCTTCCACATGAGAAAGCTGCATTTACTTCAACAACTAATAAGATAATTAGTCTTCTGACTGTATCACTGTTTAGTATTTTTATCAATCCCATTGTTAGGGCCATTTTAGCCCTTCAGACAAAACACAGAACATTGTTTACATTTCACTGTATGATAGATTGTTCTGGCTTTAAGTGAAAACTATTCTACCATATAATAGACAAAACAATGCAACGTATAAAGTTTCAACCATCTATATTTCCATTCAACAGTTGAGTATACAAAACTGTGTATATTGATTAGTCTATGACAGACAGGTTACGTATCAAGTTTTAGTGGGTTCTTACTTTGTTGCCAGGGCAGCGGTGTACTGGTTGCCATGCTGCTGGTTGGAGGAGGAGGTGGAGCTTGCTGTTGCCATGGTGGCAGCGGACCAGAAGGCGGGGGAGGTGGCTGGGTGCTCGGGGGAGGAGGTGGAGGGGGCATCATGCCCATTGGAGGAGGCAGCAGACCTATGAGGGGAAAAAACATGAATCATCTTCCACATTGACATTATGGTGCCGAAGCTTTTTTACTTTGGTCCACAACACTTTTGCTTTGTTGCCAGTTTGAATGATCTTCATTCATCAAGCCACATTGAGGAGCTTGTGAATAAATTTAAAGGATTTACAACAAGCTTGTGTAACAGTGATGTCTTAAAGTCATTCAGCTAAAAACACTCTTACCCATAGGGTGTCCATGAGGTCCTGGACCCTGGCCCATGGGGGGAGGAGGAGGCTGCATCCAGGGGGGAGGCAGACCGTTGGGGTTGGGGGGTAGATGGGGGCCTCCCATGTTGGGCATGGGGGGAGGGAAGTTGTGGTGTCCTCCAGGCCCACCGTGCATGCTATGGTAGTTCCTGTTCTCAGTCGGGCCAGAGCTCATCCAAGGAGGCCGGTTCTGCTGCGCACACACACAAATATCCGTCACTTCAGAAACGTTTATATGGAAACCATAGCATGGATTCAAATGTGTCACAAACTAACCGGAGGTGGCTGGTTGTTGTTGGGGTTTGAGGTTCGAGGTGCCCCCCCCTGGTTGCTGGAGTGTCCCCCTCCAGATGTGGGGACTGGAGCCTCCCCCAGCTCAGCCATTAGGGACAGGTACTCCTTGTCCATACGAGCCTTGTCCTGGGCCGACTGAGGAGGCTCACCACCTGTTGCTCTGTGGGCAGCAAATGTGCTACAAGAGGCAAAACAGCAAACATTGTTACAAAATCACACTTCATAACCAAACTGGACATTCACTCCACATTTTGCGGCTTGTTGATGTGATCACCTGGTGTACTTGCAGTCAGAGGAGATGTGGCCTGCTCCACCACACTTGGTACACAGGGTGGTGTTGGTGATGCTGCGTGGCTCGGCGTTTTGCCAGGGGCGAAGGATCCTGAAGAAACAAGAGTGACAGTCTTCACTGGTGTTCTGTAGCTAACACAGAGCAGGGTTGACTCCGTCCATAAATTAGTCTTTTCCACTGCTCCCACAATCATCACCAATGATCTGAACACTGAAATAAACATGAAGCTCCACCACTGGAGGACATGTTCACTGACCTGTTGTCGTCTTCCCTCAGTGTGCCATTGAGTCTGGCAAGCTCCCTCAGCTGCATCTTCCGTAAGTCATTCTGATCCTCAGGTGTCTCGATGCCTTGCTTCAGGATGTTGCGAATCTGTGAATTTCACACCGTTAAAAATACATATTCTACATGCCAGAAGCAATGTTCCATACATTGAGATAAACTCAAAAATCTTCACAGGTATGAAGCACCGAGCAAAGATCGAGCATCCAAAGGGAGCTGGATAATCTGCACACTGGGGGTTATCTAACCTGCTCCACAGCTTTCTTGACATTCTCCATTGTGTTTGCAGTGACCAGGGCGTGCAGAGGCTCATCTTCCCCTGGGAGCATCTGTCCATCCTTTCGGCCAACCTTCCCCTCCTTTACAGAACCTTTACCACGGATCATGATCTTCGCACAGCACTCCTTCTCAATGTTCTTCAGTGTGTTACCACTGGTGAAACAAAAAGAGAAACACGTGAGAAGCTTGGCCATAAACTTGCTTGTGTACAATATATAAAATGCAAGGTTATAGTAATATATTAATATTAAGTCCAACTTACCGTGGCCCAATTAGCAGACCAACAAAGTTGATTTCAGGGTATTCATCCTGGGGAATCATAACTTTGTCATTGACTCTGGTGGCAGGAGGTCTGCAAGAAATGGATAAAAGATCAACTTTCTGATTCTTTGAAACTGTTCATGTGTTTTTTTTAATGCAGGTCACAGATATACAATAGGGCTGTCAATTCTTTCCAAAAAATCAGGTTTGAGCAAATTTGACATGACACAATTTGTTCACATGTATTCAAGCCCACTCCCTACCTTGTGCATGCAGTCAGACGATTAACACTCATACTTTGAAGTCGAACGGGTCATTACAAACGACCAATTTTACCCCCAATGTTCATGTTCCCAAACATGTCACCCAAACAGTGACAGCCCTAATATACACTGATCTGATTAAAACCAATTACTGGTTTTAAAGTTGTAGCCAATGGTGGTATTCTATTAAATTAAAACAGACTGTTACGATAGCTTAAAGCAGAAGATTGTTAACACAAATAAATCATACTTATAGTCTGCAGGAGGCTTGAAGTCAGGGTTGAGTCCAACCATCTCAGTGATGAGGGAGTGGCGTTCCTCCTCGATCTTCTTCCTTGTGCGATACTCACGGGTGTTTAACCTCTTGCCCTCGCTGTTATATATGGGCTCCGGAGAGGGAGACCTGAAAATGGCAGACAAAAGACAGGAAATACAACATCAGTACCTTCCTAGAATTGGAGCTCTGCAGGTTAACCATTACACACTTCCTACAGCTAACTAAAGCTTTAGAAATTTCAAATCTTCAGTAGCAATTTGTAATCAACAGGTTATGATATATATCTGAGAAATTATGTTAAATTTAAAAAGAAATTTCATTTTGGAAATTTGGATCTACTGAGAGAAATCTCAGATAGACTGACTATGTGACTAAGGGCCAGTGCAAGAGCAAACTAAAAAGGAAAATAAAATGATATAGGAACTCTGCACTGACGTTTCAAACGCTAGAGTTCATTAATTTATACAATTCAGGGTAAAACGGGGGCAACCAAATCTGTATAGCGGCAATTAACCCATTACAGTGGAGGGGCATCAACCACACAGAAAAAACGAAAAACAAATGAATGGCCATAACTAAACCTGCATACAGGATTGTTGGCCTATAAGAAAGGAAAGCTGCAGGTAAGAAAAAGAAACCAAAGCAAAATTCGCAATCCTAAGCAGAAACGCTGGCATTGAGAGTTGCTTGGTGTTGACGTGGCGGAAGAGGTCCGTACCTCCCCTTGGATGCTGAAAACCTGTGTTGCTGCGTTAAGGAGGCTCTGTGCTTGAAAAAGGGTTAGGTTGACGTGGGGTAATTTGGGTTAGAGAAAAGGAATTAAGATTAGATATCCACCTTTTCCTATGCTCTCCCACCTGAGAGCCACATTTGTGTCCATGTGACGTGAAGAGGGAAAAAAAACGTTTTTCCTTTTATGCTTCAAACTTCCAACGGTGACAACCTGAAAGACCCCAGTAGGTTCTGTCACATTAGATTGGGGAGTGATTTATAAGAGTGCTGCAGTTCTGCAATCGACTTTTTGGTTGCTGTGGAAATGTCTGATTATGATGAGAAACTCTGTGCAGTGTACAGGCGGCAGGGACTCTAGCTAACAAAGGACAATGTCACACACTCATGAGAGCAAGCCACTTCCTGTGGGAACAGATCCTTATGGAAACTATGTCATAAGATGGCTATTGCGTTTCCAGAACTTAGAAGTCTGGCAGTTTTCTTCCAGACCTCAAAAGTCCAGAGTGAAAACTGGCACACGCCCCCCACTTTCCCTTCCCCCTTGGTGGAAATGTTAAGCCCTGTTACTAGAGAACTAGTGATCAATATTGAAAAACCTATTGATCACTGATATAGCACAGTGTATGCTACATGCCATCACTGTCAAAAATAAATAATTAATATCCAGTGTGCAATTAAGGAAAGGCAAAATAACTTGATGGGTCTGAATTATTAACTCAAATTAATATATTTCAAAGAGCCAATTCTATTTCAACTTCAAGACTAAAAAAGATCTTAAATATCAATGTAATTGAAATCATTTAATTCAAGTACAGTTTGTTGACCCAAGCCTGTATCAGAGGAAAACAATTTACCTTCATGTATGTATTCATTCATAGGTTCACACAGCACTCTACATCACACAAACAAGCAGTGGTTGGAACCTTCATGCATAAAAAATTGGGAGGCTAAATTTGAAGCGACAACTCCACTGACCTGTCGAGTTAAATAGCCCAATATGAAAGGTGCAAATATTTAAGACTTGCTTATTTGTCTTTACCTGAAATACACCTAAACTCAGCTCGCACTGAACTACATGGAGTTGGTTACCAGAGCATTCATACCCTCTATGCCTTTCTATTTTGAATACCATCGCTTGCAAAACTATTTTCAACTAATTTATTTGTCTTAATTTTACACAAGATTTAAACTTTGTTTTACGCTACACTGTGATTTAACATAGAGCTCACAAACCTGTAAACATTTATCTGACAAAAATCAATAAAAGTAGGAAAAGCAAGACAGCACTCAAATCAAGGTCAACTTGCTAGCTTTTGGAAGCTTTCAATTGGATCTCACCATCTTCTTCAGGAGATGGTAGTTGCTCTGCTCCTCTTCCTCCTCTGAGGAAGATGACGAGACTTTACTGAAAGCTCCCAAAAAGCCAGAGAGTAGACCCTCCAGAGTCAAGAAGAAACTTTCATGTTTGATTGTATATTATATTTCTGTTCATATAAATATGTACTTAAAGGCACAAGAGCTACATCTTTGATAGCCAATTATAATTCTGCATTTTTCAGGGCTGGAAAATGTTTAGATTTTGTTTGTTTAAGTAATTGTAATCACTGTCTTGAGTAAAAATTAGGAACATGTAGCTAAAACTAGTGCAGTTTAATCTAAAAGTCTTGAAGGTTATCTTGATTATTTTTTGTTGAAGCTGTTAGTGACGGTTGTTACAATTATATAATCGTTCTGTAGGCTGCAGTTTGTGGTGCTGTCCACTGCAATGTCTCCAATTAGTGTCCAAATGCTGCTATCTATCCTATTTTCATTCAAGTCTTATTATAACATTACGGACACTAGATACTAGTCTCAGTAAATGTTGAAAGACGTATGCTTACTTGTGATAGAATTATTAGTAGACTTAATAAAGATACAAATGTAGATTTATTCTTTTCTAGCACTAGGCTTTGGTAAAGTGCATTAACTCTAAATATTTTAAACAACACTGCTCTTAAATTAGAAGATGGCTAACTAAAGTAACAGTCTACCAGCTTATTACTTTAGAATTTTAGATTTAGACTAACCACCACATATATACAGAAAATCAACATTTGTCTTCCAAAAAGTCAAGAAGGTAGAGAAAATGTTACTGTTCGTGGGTTTAATCTTTTTCCGACCTGTCCTCAGGGTTAACAGGGATTCCCAGGTCTCCTGTACGCAGTTTACGAGTCAGGTCTTCAATCTGCAGTTGGACTGGAAGAATTCAGGTTAGGAAAGAAAAACAAGGATGGAGAGAAATGTGGTTACCACAACAACATCAGAGAGACAACGCTCTGCACATGAGAGCACTGTCCCATTTATTACTATGGTAAAACAATAAATGGTGAGTCTGTTTAAAAAACAAAGGGAGTTAAAATGAACATCTAGTAAGACTCTAAGGCATTTCTGAGGACATAAGAGGCATTTACCCAATATCATAATGTTCTATAGGTAGATTTACATTAGCACAAACAAGACTAACCTTCTATCAGACAATGAATCAACATGGCAACTAGACTGTGATTCCTAAAAATGCCTTTACCATTTCAAACCCTGGGTGAGGATTGGTTCCATGGAGACAGGGTTTCTGATACTGTAGCATTTTGTGTTTACAGGCTTTGGCATTTAAAGGACACAGCTGAGTCAAAAAGAAATAAATCACTGATTGGTCTATTTGTTTTCCAAGTTTCAATAACAATACGGGTGATGACATCACTCCATAGATCTAATACTGAGGGGCTGCAGTGACAAAGAAACAATTCTTATATATTGAAGGCAGTGAAGAAATAAATCAATCAGTCATCTCATGCACATCATGAAAATTGCAATGAAAATAACCCCCAAACAGAGATTAACTGATTACTGCAATGATTACTCTGGATTATAGAGGAGAATACGGGGCCTGTGAATTGTGGCTCACAGCAATTGCATCTTAAAATGTTTCCCTTGGATCATTTTAGGGGATCTACCACATGAGCAAAGGAAATGATAAGTATGACAAGGAGAGGTGGGCACAAATGAATGTTTACATACCAAGGAAGTACAACCATTACCAATGAGTGAACAACATCAATAACAAAGTCAGTTATTGACAAAAGGTTTCATCTGCTTCAGAACACCCAGCTGAGGGCCTGTGAAGACAGTGTGTTGGTGCTACACTGCTGCTGAAAGGCATATGTGGTTAAAAACTGGAATCACATGATCCTTCTTTAATAAAACAGGCCAAACTAAGAACACAATGACAGTGTGTCCCAATTGTATGACTACTAAACCAACTGGTTGAGTAGTTTAAATATTTGGATAGTTTTGCCATTGAAGCAGCATTGCTCACACTTGGATCGATATAAACAGAAGCATACTTTGGCATGTTAGAACATTATGAGGAACGTCTCCATGCACAGGAACATTACTGATGACGTGTAAAGGGATCAGGCAAGACATTGAACAGTGACCTGCAGCTCAGGACAGAAATCAGCAAGCAGTGGTGTTTAATCATCTATGTCAAACTCCTCTTGCTAATGGGTGCCCGATGGTATGCAAACTGTAAGTACACCACAACAGAACCAATTTACCTCAATTAAAGAGACATGAGCTTAATCGCCACCTTACATCAACAAGTTATTATCACTATGCATCAGAAACTATTGCTTCATCTCAACAGTTGGAGCAAAATTAGACATTTCGCTTTTTGCATAACACCATATTTGTTACTGATGATTAGATGGGAAATGTAATCCAAAGTTTTAAGTTGCTAATGCATCTTGTTGGTGCCTTTAGAGAGCTCTAGCTGTTGGGAATGCAGCAAACAGCACAGAAGTGTATGCATCAAGTTAGAAAACTACAACCTCAAACAGATGCAATTGATGAGAAACAACAAAACTGCATTTCAAATCAACAACGTGACTTTTTTTTTTTTTTTTTAAACCAGAGATACTTAATAAGCATTTACCTATATATGCTCTCTCTTGATCCCGGGTCAATCCAGGTGGAATAACAGTGGGCATGCCTGGTATGACCGTCTTCTGATCAGGCGTCTCGCTGCTCCACCGACTCTTCTTCCTTGATTTCTTACCGAAATCTACCGAGAAACAGGGAAGTTAATGCATATTGGTTCGCGGCTTCGACGCACCCTACGTGATGGATGTAAATTCAAGCATGACCTTGTAAGCCAGGAGAGTTGACGAGCGATTTTAAGTGCCGATCCTTAAAGCAGGGCTCAACACAGGAGCCTTTTAATTTGAAATACATAACACAGACTCTAAGGATTAGATTACTCGTTAAACATTTCATTTACACCGGAGCTGTGTTAACTTCTTCCATTTAGCTAAGCTGAGCCTCTGACATGATTGGAGTTCAATGTGACACAACATTTTGTCGTTATAGCCATAAATCAACTAACTCCATTTCGTGCAGGGCCACGGCATGACGCGGGGCCCTTTGACGTCAGGCCATGTTAGTTAGCCACATTAGCTGGCTAGCATTGACTCATATGCAGCATCAGGCGCTCAATGCGTTCGCCGTTTAAAACGTCGGACGTTGATTTTACCTTGGTTACCCAGTCCGGCCCCTGGAGGTGGTTGTGGAGCCTGGGTCGAAAACCCAGCCGCCGGGTTGAACGGGTGTGGCTGTGGGAAAGACGCGGCTGGCATCGTGGGCTGGAAAGCTTGTAGCGAGGGGAAGGATGCAGGCGGCCCCGGTGTCGGCATCAGCCCGTTCCCCGACCCAGGCCCGGCGTCAAATCCTCGTTTAGCGCCGATACTGGGATGCAACTTCCCTAAAGGAGTTGCATTTGCTCCCGTGGCCATTTTCAGACAACTGCTACGTTTCTGTAAAACGTCAGTCGGTTCAGGTAGAAGTTGGTTGAAACTGGGGGAAATATCTGAGTACTAGCTGCAGTCACTACTCACAATTCTTCATCAAAATGGCGCCGAACAGAAAACCACAAAGGATGAGCGCTGTAGAATAAAGCATTCCTATTGGCCAGAGTAAGACCCTCCCCAGTATCCTCATTATGAAAGTCTATTGGCTGATCCGGCTATCAATACTGGTATACGTAGCCGTGACGCCATATCCGGCCTACGTTTGTTTGTGATGAACTAAACAGGAACAAAAAAAAAACATTAAAAAACTTTCTTTTTATAATTATATAATTATAATTTATAATTGTCACTAACAATCAAGAGTCGATTGTCATTTTTTCAGTTTTAATCAAATGAACCTCCTTTAAAATAAATAATGACTAAATCTTTTGTTTTCACCAGTGTTTGGATTCGGATCGTTTTTTTTATTAACGGATGTGTAATTGTATTGTCAATAATTACTGTTAAATCAACTGAACAACAACACAGTGCTTTAATAACAAGAACTGTTACTGAATCTACCTGAACTCATTTTTCAATGACAACATGCATCAATTATTGTAGTAACTTCACCTTATTCTAACGTAAATGCTGCTCATCATACTACAACTGCTGCTAACGTAACTGCCATTTTCTAGTATTGGTAAGTATAGTAAGTATCTTTGCACTCTCAATCCATTTTCTCACTATTCCCATTTGCAAAACTCTCATCCTATCCACCATGTGCCTTTTGACTGCATACTGTGTTTTACTCTGTTTTTATTACTTAATCTGTTGAATACTTATATGTTCCGTCTACTTATGTTTACACCGGAGATCAGAAACATACATAGTGGAACTGACAAGAAAGTTGACTTTAGTACCCATTTTCTGTTAATATTTCAACTTATCTGGTCAAAATTATTTTTGATTGATGATAGTGAAAGAAAATAAAGTCTTTACGTTTTAGAGAGCATTTACAAAATATCATTTTGGAGAATAAGATTTAACCCAAACAAAGATATCTGCCAGTAGGTGTGCCTAGAGGCTGAGGGGGTACAGCGGCCGTCCTCTAACCAGAAGGTCGCCTTGTCTGCAGATGGATGATGTTGATTCAGTCAGCTGAATCCAAACTGTGGCATTGTACTTAAAGTTAAAAGATAAGAATTTTACTATTAGGATTATTTTGATCCTTACACACCTGCTAACTTTACTTCATATAACCTGAAACCATCACTTATCACAGTCCCTTGCTTGTGGTTGCGATCACTGAGCTAATCTTCCAATTTTTACTTTCTATATAACAAAATTGCAACTGATGAGCAGTATACAAGATCAGTATACCACATTATTCAACACACATAAGAGTCAGTCTTTAAACAGGTTTTAATTTTGACCTAATAGTTAGAAATCAAGACAGACAGCACAGGCAATTGAGATAATTTTCTCATGGAACTACAACATATGTTGAAAGCGTAAAGCCTCATATATATCACAGCACTGAAAATAAATTTAAAACAAGTAATGTGACTATTAAAAAACATGACCAAAATGCAGCTTGGAAAGTTCTTCAACACAATTCCACAAATAGGTTTCATATTATCCCAATTACAAAAGTATAATAATTTTTCATTTTGTGCAGGTCTATATTTGTACAGGTTTGACATGTAACCCCCCCATTTACCAATGTAGGTGATGAGGCATAAGGTATTGAAATTTATTTTTTGATTTATATATGCAGTAACAATGTAAACTTACATCAACACAAATGAATAGACAGAAATACACAAAGACGCTGCTGAAAAGAATTCATTAAATTGAATTAACATAACCCTAAGACTCACCTCTAAAACATGCACCATGCATTAATTTTATGTGTTTCTATTGAATTAATCTAAATATTGTATGAACATACTGCTACTATATGGGGGAGGGGGGATTTTTTTTTGTTTTTACAGTATCACAAATGGATGGATCAACCAGTTTGTAGAAAAACTCAATCTCTGCACTTTCACATTAAACTACGCCATTTCAGAACTGCACCAATATCACAACATGTAAATAGGAAGATGAACGGAGGTCAACTGAGCATTCGTTGCTCTGCATTTTGTAGTATAAGCTGGAATGAGATCACAGCGTCAGGTGGGTGCATTCAACCATTTCCACTGAATTCTAGTTGTTGGATAATTGGAAAGCTTTATTGTCACCTTGTCCATACTACCCACACGGGCTGACTTTTGCCCCTGATATTACCAATGAGACACACTGTAACATTTAATTTTTAGTGATTCCAATTGCACTTGGGCTATCCTATCTTGCTGTTTGGGAAACAGATTAGTATGTATATCTTGTCCGCTCAGCACCGGGATCCCGAGGATGTTCATAGGCAGTGCTTCTTGGGAGGGTCAGCACCGGGGAAAGGCGCGAACGATCATATGCATATCCGTCTGCCTCGGCAGGGACTCTCCGTATCGGACTCCGGTCACGTGCATAGAATGAGGAGACTGGGGCTGGTGGAGGAGGGAGGGGAGGGCACTCGTATGGGTCAAGGCTAGAGGGGGGAAGACGTTCCCGAATAATAGCTATGGAGGGGGTTGATGGAGCAGGCAAGGGGACGGCGCCGCGTTCCTCGAAATAACTGCCTCCGTAAGAATTGGCCCTGTACTTTTCATAGTAGTCCACGACCCCGTACGGATCCCGTTCCTCGTAAGGCGACCGTCGCATCGGGTAGGCTGGTACCGCGCCATAGAGTGAGCCGTTGCCCCTGTATGCCGCCTCGCTGCCATACATCCGAGGCATGCTATGATCAGCAACAGCGCTTATGCCATAACCTGGGTGCGGCCCGTATCTCATTGCACTCTCATAGCCTGCACCCCTTCTGTACCCCGCCATGCTGCTGTGACCAGAACCCCGTGAAAACACATGTACAGGAGCATAGCCGCCACCATAATCTGGATCACCAGTGAAGTCTGGATGATAACCACTGTTGTGACCACGCCCGCCAAATCTCGAGGCATCGTATCCATCAGACTCTGGCTCTGAACCGTTTTTGTGGTAGCCATTTTGGTCTAGAGGGCATTCTTTGGACCAGTGGCCTTCCTGCCCGCAACGATAACAACCCGATCTGTCTCCCATTCCCGGCGCAGTACGAAGGCGGCTAGTCGAAAGCTTCACGCTCATCAGTTTGCCTTAAAAAGAAAAGACTCAATAAGGACTTATGCCTGCATTTATTCCAAATAATATATAAGACATTTCTTGTCTGGTATACAAAAGTCCCATAATCCATCAGTCTAGCAAAAATCTGCACTATATACGCCAATGTAACGATAAAACATGGCCTATGATTGGTGAATTAGACAGTCCCGTTATTAAAGCTGAAATCCGTAACATTTCACAGTTTATTTGCATCCTGCAGTAAAAAACACAATCTTTACTGATGTTCATTCAGTAACAAGAACTGACCAAACCTTTAAAAATGATCTGCATTTTCATCTCGTTTACAATGAACAAACACAATCTATATGAAATGAATAAACAAATCATTGTGTTTTTCCTGTTTGTATTGGACACATCAAACATTCACAGTAAAGGTTGGAAAAAGTGTCAAGAACCAGAGGAAGCTGTAGGTTTGATTAAAGGTACAGTGTGTAGAATTATGTGATATCTAGTTTTGAAGTTGCATGTTGCAGCTGAACACTCCTCACCTCACCCTCCACTTCCATAATGAAAAAGAACCTGTGGTAGCTTTAATTGTCATAAAAACTCAAAAGGTGTTTAGTTTGTCCAGTCTGGACTAATGTAAAAAACATGGCGGCCTCTGTAGAGAGGGTCCCCTCCATGTAAATATAAGGTATTTAAATATAAAGGGCCTTTTCTGGGGTAAAGAAAACTGCAATTCATACAATTTAGATGAAACAAACTAGTGAAAACATCATGAGGATTATTCTACAGTAAATTTCTGCCAATAGTTCCCTTTCACCTAAATCTTACACACTGGAGCTTTAGGAGCAGCTTGACTAACCCTAACCCTGCACACCAACCTTATTCCAAAGGTGAAATACAATTAGTTCAAATAAAAATACACCTTCTGGAGTGGTTTAGTCACAATCCTGACCTTAACCCAGGAGAGCTCCGAGCCGTTCACACCAGACGTCCTGAGAACATATCTGTGCTGACGCAGCTCTGTAATGAAAGCTAAGATAATGAAAGTGATTATCTAAGGTGGTTGCTGCCAAAGGACGATCCACCAGTTATTAAATTCAAGAGTACACTCCTTTTTTCACTAGCCCTGGGAATGTTTAATGGATGTGTTCAATAAAGACAAAAAAAAGGACTAGAATTGTTTGTTATAAGCTTCAACACTTTGTTCCTCTGTACTCAGTAACTCAGATGAGATCAGATTTTATGACCAATTAATGCAGAAAAACTTTCTTGCCACAGCATGACACCAAAAATGTCTGAGTTATCGCAGAAGACTGCGAGTAAGCTTGGAATTCAAACTTCCTCGTGCTAAACTTGAAATAAGTCAACAGTTTGTCAGCTCAAATTAGCATTTCTGCATCTGAGTGCCGCAGAAATGCTCACTGAGCCATCATCTGTTCATGTTGCAGAGAGTTTGAGTGGGTTGTGCACATTCAGCCAGGAATCAATGACCGCACCGAAAACCACGTGCATGCTGACCAAATGAAATATAAACAGTTTTGGTGCACACCCTGTCCTTAATGGATGCAGCTGAGTTTTGCTAGGTAGAAATACACAGTTTGTTCCTTCTAGTATTAAACTGAAGGGGGGACCTGGTGGGGAAAATCATAAATTGCAGTAAGTGCCTATTTGTGATCATTTACAATCTACCATACAGACGGATATAACAAATGACATTACGGATACCAGCTTTAAATAAGAAGTATTTGGGGCAGCATTACTTTCTTCAGCTTACCAATATCCCTTCATCTTTCTCTTTGTACTCACCTGTAGCACATCCACAACTTACCTGTCAATTCACAAGACCAGAATTCAAAATTCTTCATACTATATATGTGATAAAGGGTAAGGTCCCCATAAAGCCCAGTTCACCTTTAAAAGCTGTGTTGTCTAACTGATTAATGGCCTCCATGGCATCCTCCATTTGCTCCATGTGAACAAAAGCATAGTTTTTGACTATGTCACACTCCACCACGGAGCCAAACTCTTCAAACTTAGCCCTCAGCTCCTGGTTGGTACAAGCGATGTTGCCAACATGTAGTTTGGTGGATCCTTTTATATTGCCACGGCTCAATTCTACATTCATGGGCTGGCCATTGAGCTCATAGTGGTGGAGGTTGCGGATGGCCTCTTCTGCCTCCGTTTTGTTATCCATGTGCACAAAGCCAAAGTTCTTGACGATTGTACATTCTGAAATCTTGCCGTACTGGGAGAAGAGAGAGCGTAGCTCATCTGATGTAGTGTCAGCTGACAAGTTCCCGATGAATATTTTCACCATTTTGGAGCTGCCACGTCACTGAGGAAGGAGAGGAAATCAAGATTATTGGTACCACAATACTGCTGAGGCAATCAAAAGATGGACCAGTCAAAATATGAATACTCTTCTCTAAAAATGTGGACCTTGGTTAACATCCATTCATGTGGTGTGATGTAATGAAACCTGCTAACAATGGATATCCATTTTCTACTGTCCATCGCACTGCATTACTTTCTATTGCACATTTATATTCTATTACATTGATATATATATATATATTTTTTTTTTTTTTCCAAGCAAAGTAATTTTAGTAGAAGGCAAAGTAAGAATATCATTGTACAGGACTGTTTATGTGACAAATAAAACACTTTGAACTTTGATATCCAATAAACAGTGACAATATCCAGTCATTTTATTGTGGTTAAAAGAAGACTTTACTCTTAACTGAATCATGGACAATTTGACTTAAGGTTTAATATCTATGAGCTCTGTCCTACAACAACACAACAGGATGCCACACATGTATGTTAAGTGAACCTAAACAAAGATAATTTGGAGAAGTATGCACATGCATTGAGAGAACAAGGAAAAAGTGATGCATGCTTAAACAAATGCAAAGTTTAATAGTGACTGTGTTGGATGCCAGTGTATCCTATACATACATATGGTTGACAGGTTTGATTTCCAATATTCTAACCCCCACTGAGTGCATATCTTGTTTATAATAGGTTATTAACCAGTTATGGAGAATGTATATCAAAATATATGTGAATATACTTGTATTTACACTGCATATACCTACATTTATCCTCCTGCTGAACTTGTTTAACTGTAAACACATCTAGCACCTATAACTAAATGTGAATTTGATTTTGACTGACGCTGGTTAGTATGGATGGAGACGAATGCACCGGGTAAGGACTCATTGATTCCTGTGCCCACTCTTGATTAAATCAAGATTGAAGGCAACAACTTCACAACAATCAATCCTCACTGTGCTCGGTGTAGAACGGGGGATTCCGCACATGTGCGCTGCTTTGTTGAATTGTGCACGAGCAACTAGCGGCACATGCAGAGCCACAGACGCGTCAACGTCATGTTTCTGTAGCTAGCATCAAAAGGCCTGGGAAAAACTGTGATCACATCGCGGACGATCACACCCATCGCTCACCGCACGAGCAGCTCGCTTCTATTAACCGCAGCGAGCTAACCGAGTCCGCTAACTTATCAGATTTGGCGTATACGTCTACATCACCGCTCCGCTCGGTGATCGAGTTACGTAACACGCTCCCCCACGTTTAATTTGCTGCACGTCCATTGTGTATCGTTGCGTTAGCTTAGCACGTATGAATGAAAGAGGCCCCGTTTGCTCGACATACCCTCCCAAACTCAAAACGCTCTGGCTAACTCCGACGGCAAAGCGAGCTTTTGCGTTGCATTCATTTCGTGGGGCTGGGTTTCCTACCTTCAGCAGCAGCACTGTGTTCGGACCCTCGCAGAATGAAATGGCGGCTGCTGCTTCACCCAATGACGAGTGCTACGTTACATTAGCAGCTCGTGACCAGGCGGACACGGTGCTACACACACAGAGCCGCGGCTAACTGTTAGCTCCTCCACCAGGGGAGGAAGCGCACCCTGGTGCCCACAGTCACGATCGAGGTCGTGCACCTTCAGTGTCGATACTTTCTAATAATTGGTTGTTAAAATTAAAAATTAAAAAATAAGGAGAACGCATTTCAAGAACCATTTGTTTCTAATGAGGGCAGATTTATATTCTACATGTAAACAGATCACCTTTCATGACCTGGGTTGAATGTGACATGTTAAATGTTTAATTTTTATTATCAGTCTGCAATTATGTGCTGGTAAAACTTGTATGAAGTATTAAGTACCTGTATTAAATAAAGTGTAGGTACTTGCCATCATGTCTATTGTTTTGTTATACCCTTAGATTTCTTAACACAATAATAAAGAAAAGTTTGACAAATTGTTTTCCTCCTTTGTCAGATAATTATACTGTATGAGGATATGTTCTGTGATTGGTATTCATTCTATATGATTTGAAGAAATATCCCATGTGGTTAATACTGAAAACCCACATCAGAGCACTACTGCTTGTGGCAGAATTTTTAATGACTTACATTATTGTCAGCAAACGATAATAAATTGTTATTTCGATATTGTTATATCAACTTAGATAGAGCTTAATGTTGTATCCACATTTCCCAAACTTGTTGAATTTAACGCTGAGAAAAATAAGTTGTAAAACCATGATCTTCATGACGACAGTCCAAATGAGAAAAACGAACAGTCCCGTTTCACCTACAAAGTTAGACAACACAATGTGGGGATTCACAAAACAAAAAAAATGTCAAGACCAAAATTATTTTTGGCTTTATTAAAAATCATTTTTCGATTTTTTGTGTATGCTGGTACTTCCACAGCTAGTAAGAAAAATACAAACTCCAAACCCATCTATATGAAAAACTAACAAAGGCACTCTCAACACTGAAAGCACCTCATGACTTGTACAGCCCAAGCCCTGCCTCACCTTTCTGAATCTGCTTTAGATGTAATATGTATACAACACACATCCATCCCGCACTGACATCCTACCTCTGATGGGTTGGGTGTTTTTTTAAGTGGGAAGAAAACAGTTATTTTAATGCACAATGCCTGTCAGCCAATATTCTGGTCTTGGTTGCACCTTTTTTATTTTTTTATATATATATATTTATATATTTTATGAACACACTGCAACTTTGAAAAAATGAGAGGCTGGAATGTTTGAGAATGTTTTTTCTTACCTTACTTTTTTTCTCACTCAGCAACTCTCTCAAATAATCACAGTGCTATTATGTATCCTTAATGAACACTGAGCCAGGCCAGTGACATGGATGTGGATTCAATGCTCTGTTGTTTTCTTCAGTGTGAATCACTGTCTATTCATGCTCTACAGAGTTTTGCTGTCGACCCTAAACCAGGGAGGTTCCTGTGTTTCACCCTCCTGGTTTTAGCTGTCAGAGTACGAACCACATTAAGATTATTCTTCATCTTTATCCACATCCATATAATTGACTTGGATCGTATGAGATGTGTGCTGAGGGGTAAGATAAGGCTCTACTGCACCACAAGCAAATGATACATATACTACATGGGTTAACCTGAATCCCAATTAGAAAATAAAGTCAAATGTTTACATTAAAGAGGAACAAAAACACTTCAGCTGGATTTATAGTCAATGCAAAGTGTTACCAGGAGTCCCCCTCGAGTTACATCCAGTTAACATTATTTAAATGTGTCTACTTACTGAATAAAGCGACTTCTTCCATGCAATTGCTTTGTTTGTGTTCATTTATCCATACAGAGGGTCCACTTTTAACTTCCACAGCGTTGTCTTCACTATCTACAAACTCCGCCAGAATCAGCAAGATGTCGGGGGAAAAACTCTCACAGCCAATCACAAGTCCCGCTCTTCCCTCATGGTTTCTTCATCCCTGCCGTATTTTTACATTTTTGAGGAGATCCACGACAACTAGTGTAGCCAATGGTGTAATCTTAGAGCCTATGCAAGGGAGCCGCTGTGTATGGCACAGCCTCTTTACACAGAGGTATAAATCCAGCTTTCTCTAAGTGATAAACAAAATCCAAGCAATTCACATTTGCTCAATTAAACATTTTGCTTTAAGTGAGGAACAAACACGGTTAAGAAAAAAAACAGAAAAAAAGACAGGGCTAAAAACTGAGCTGAAAAACCGCAGAACAAATGAAAAAAATATTGCTTTATACAACATATATGTTTAACAGTGCAGTTTTCTAATCATTATCATCCTTGAAAACAGATTATGTGAACGTGACTGAAAGGACAATTCATCTGCAGGCAACTGGCATCTTAGGTGCCCTGAAGATGCCAACACAATTCCCAAACTCTCTGCATCTCATATGCTTTGCCGCACATTGCGCAGACAGATAGAATCATGTAGATCGAAGATACGACGGCAAAGGAAAAGTCCCGCAGTTCACAAATAGACCTACAAAGAGAGCAAAGCAATCCCTTTTCAGAAAGGGGGTTTAATCTGCTAATATTTGCAGCACAGCTTCAAAGGGGTTCGGCCTCACAACAAATTAGCCAGATCCCAGTGCACACTGAGCAGAAATGTTTTACATTAAAATGTCACCTTATCATTAAAGCAAATAATCTGTCATATTTGTTTGCTATGTTGCTCACCTTGGCACCGTGGTTTTAGTAAGGCGCGTAACGTGGCGCATAATGATCCTTGGGTCGCGGAGTAGCGTAGGTGCTCCTGGAGGACACCGGTGACAGCCGTGTTCGCTCATAGGTGTAGCCTGCCGCAGAGACGGGTACTCGTCCGATCGGGTTGCGGTCTTGTGCATAGTAAGCAGCAGCTGAAGCGGCCGCTACAGGTGGAGGCGGTGGCCGACGGTCATACGGATCTACACCGGTGGGGAGCTTTGAAAGGGAGGAAGGAGGGGGTGGGGGAGGGGGGAGATAAGACATGCGACGATCCTCGAAATAGCTTGAGCCATAAGGCCGAGCTCTGTACTTCTCATAATAGTCAACACTGCTATAAAGACGGTCACGATCATAAGCTGATGACCTGTCAGCATAGGAGCCTGCTGGTCTGCCCCCATATCTATCCCCCAGCTCAGAGCCGTAGCCACTGAGCCTACGAGGGGGCGGAGGGATACCACCTACATAACTACCCTGACTATACGCAGAGCCACCCATGTAATCAGGTCCTGGAGGTGGGGCCATTCCGTAGCTGCCCCTGCCATAACCTGGGGGACCGCGTGGGGGGGCCCGGCCGCTGTGACCTCTCACGTCATCACCGTGGCTATCGCCCCGACCGATTGGACAGTCTTTCGACCAGTGACCATGTTTCCCGCAGACATAGCAGCCGGTATGATCTCCCATTCCCGGGGCAGTGCGAAGCCGACTGGTGGACAGCTGTACGCTCATCAGCTTGCCTTGTAGGGAGAGAGAAGAAACGCATGAGACCGTAGGATTCTGACACGAAAAGGCTCTTACCGTCTATAAAACACGCTAAATTCATTTGACCGGCAATCCCTGGGCGAAGCGAAATAACCTTTAGTTGCAGATGATTTTATTCACCAGTTGCACTGTCACTGGTGCCAAAGTTACAAGTGATTACTTTCAGTCCACCTGCAATGAAGGCAAGGGTTATCCAAACTCTTTGTGTAAATGAAATGAGCTAGAGGATTTGACTAGGCATGAGAGCTCTACAGCGATAGAACAGAATCCAAATTTGAATCTACAGACAGTAAAGACAACAAATGTTCCGCTGCCCGAGAGTTCACCTTTGAAGGCTGTGTTGTCCATCTTACTGATGGCATCCATGGCATCCTCCACTCGCTCCATGTGAATAAATGCATAGTCCTTCACTATGTCACATTCCACCACTGCGCCAAAATCTTCAAACTTGGCCCGCAGAACATCACAGGTGACTCCTTCACCGAGGTTACTGACGTGCAGCTTGGTGGTGGACTTCGGCCTCCCTTTGCTCATCTCCACGTTCATGCGCCAGCCATGCAGCTGGTGTTGGTGGAGGTTCTGAATGGCCTCCTCTGCTTCTGATATGTTGTTCATGTGAACGAACCCATAATTTTTGACGATGTCACATTCTGCTACTTTGCCGTACTTCTCGAAGAGTTCCCGCAGCTCCTCAGGTGTGGTGTTGCAGGCAAGATTGCCGATAAAAATCTTCACCATGATGAAGTTCGTGTTTCCTGGAGGATTTAAAATAATACTTCAGTTACAAGAGTGAGTCAGTGATCAATGAATTAGTGCTATACAATCAATATGCTTAACTACCGGGTTCATTAGGTACTCTAGCTAAAAAATTATAATACAGTAAAACACTTGCAAGAGCAATGCAGGTGTAACATTACACAGCTTTTCAGTGTGTACTTTATGGGGCTGGTGTACTGCAGTGCAGAATATATAGTTTTTGATATTACACATTCCCTTATACAGCAAAGTGCACTGGAAAATATTGCAGAAACGCTTTTTCTGACCTAAACATTACAACTTAAATTGATTGGAAGGCTGTTTTATTAGATTGCATACGTTTAGAGCAACTGCGTGCATGAGAAGGTGACAGATGATTAAATTCAACTACCGCTGCTCGGTGTGAGAAATTCAGTATGGTTATATTACGTGCAATCGCACACCATTAAATGTAACGCACTTAATGCGATACTATTTGGCCCATGTATACATGCACAACATACCAGCTGCTCCATGTCAGAAGCATGTATTTAGATAAGCTAAGTGCTGTCCATTTAACCACCTCAAATGTATTCTTTCATTAGCCAAGTACGTTAAATTGAGCGTTCATCTCCAGACAGAGCATGTTATTCCCATTCTCTCTCTGACGTAAGCTAGTGTATCGTAAACACGGCTAAGCTAGCGAGTCGCACTCGCTAGCTTAGCCGTGTTGTGCTAACCCTGGCGCTGTTCGCGTTTCCGCTGTGTGTTCGCCATCACTCAGAAAAACCCAACATGTCTGATCTCGCTGTTGGGTCGATTGAGTAGACAGTGCTCACTACGCGCTGCGTCAGTGTTTCAGTGTAATGGCGCTCTGATGAAGACGCATGTTTTCAGGAAGCTACTACGTTAGCTGGCTTGCTAACCAGCTGCGGATGAGCATCCGCCCTCCAGCTCGGCCCATGTGTTTACCGAGCACACCTGTAACAACGTCGCAGTGAAAGTTACATAAAGCCAGCATTCTAGAATATATCTAAGCGTATTTAATAATCAGAAATGTCTATCTCACCCGTAATCCGACGTAGGCCTCGACACAAATGAATGAAAAGTGAAATGGCGCTGCTGCCGTTTCTTCTTCTCTTTTTTCTAGATGTACGCTGCGAGCCACCAGCGTCACGGTGCTCTACCGCCACCTGTTGTGTTCATCCCAACACAACCCAATTATGTCAATTCCAAATCCGTCTTTACAAGTTACTGATTGGAGGCAAACCAATTGATATGAAATACTCAAATATAATATACTATAAGTGAAATTAAAAAAAAACATTTCTGTTGCTATGCAGAGAGTTTGCAGAGAAATGGAGACACGGGACAGTCTTGTTTAAAGGTACAGTGTGTAGGATTTTGTGATATCGAGTGTTGGAGTTGCATGTTGCAGCTGAACACTTCTCACCTCACCCTCTGCTTCCAAACATCATAAAGAACATGTGGTAGCTTTAATTGTCATAAAAACTCAAAAGGTGTTTAGTTTGTCCAGTCTGGACTAATGTAAAAAACATGGCGGCCTCCGTAGAGAGGACCACCTCGAAGTATTTGAATTTAAAGGGCCTTTTCTGGGGTAAAGAAAACTACAATTCATAGAATTAGATGAAACAAACCAGTGAAAACATCATGAGGATTATTCTACAGTAAATTTCTGCCAATAGTTCCCTTTCACCTGAATCTTACACACTGGACCTTTAACCCCCTGCTTGATAGTAAAAAGGGCTGAATTGCCTGCTGGTAAAGAAACACAACTGTTTGTATTATATTATTTAAGAGATTTTATGATATTAGGGAAATGTATCTCCAAATCCAAAAAGCTCTACACAAAGGAAACAAAATAACTGCCAGAAGGCTGATAATCTCAGCAGCAGTCCATTAAACAGGCCTTTATGGTTAGGCAGCTAAAAGGAAAAAGAAAACACAAGACAATCTGCTCGAAGTCTTCAAAATGGCTTTCAAAGGCCCTGGGGGAATATGAGGAAAAATATTTTCTTTTCCCATGAGACATAAAAAACGTATTTGGACTGAACTTGAAACTTACACAGTCGGCTCAAAGCTACAACTGCTGCCAAAGGGGCTTCAGCAAAGTACTGAATAAAGGGTCTGAATACAGAGTGAGTGATTTCAGTTTCAGTTTTGGAGTTTTACTACATTTGCAAAAATGTCTGAAAACATATTTTTACTCTGTCATTGTGATAATTAAGTGTTGATGATGGGCAAAAATAAAAATGTCATCACTTCACAAAAAGTGAAGGGGTCTGAATACTTTCTGAAGCCACTGTATCTAAAGCTGCTTTAGCTTTAAGGTTTATTAAAATCTTTATTTTGCATATTACAATCTCAGTTGTGTAATATACTGTATGGTTATACAACCTACATAGAATTTATACAAAATAACAAACAAATACCCATATCCATATTATGTCCTTCAAGTATCTGTCAGGGAAAGGTGAGTGTTACTCATACAGTTGTCTTTCCATAAATAACTTAAATATCAATACACACAATACTAATGTAGTGGAATTTTCATTTTGGTCAGCCAAGCAGGCGTGTAACTGTTTGTATTCAGTTTATATGGCACCCATTTTAATCAAATGTACATTTACCCTTTATGTAAGTTGAGTTATTAATAGGAATGAAGGAGTGACATCACAGATCATGGGGTAAAGCTGTGTTTGACTTACTGCAATGGAATGAGCCTTTAACGGCTCCCAATATGGTGGCACATAATGTGAATGCTGCAAAGCTAACACCTTGACAAAGTACATTTACATGTAATTTTTTAGATCGACATTGTCCAATATGTACATTTAGCACTGCAGCCTTTTTAAGCTTGCCTCGATCACGTCAGATATTTTCCTGTCGAGGGTTTCTTTCATTTTTCCTTCTACAAATCCAAAACATGATACAAGAGTGTTTCAACCCATATTTCCGGGGTATCCAGTATTGTACTGGCAGGTAACATTAGCATACAAACTGTCCTAACTGTAATCAAATCAGGATTTCTGACAGACCAGTGGAAAACAGATTGTTAATAGCTGACTAACACCATGATGCAGGGTTGGAATTCTGTTGAGATTTAATCTGAAGACTTGATTGGTCCCCACACTGTGTTTAAACTTAGACCAGTGGTTGGAATTATGCCTGTGACTTTTACTGTTCATAAGGAAGAGTAATACTAGATTACACACATAATTCAAGTGCTACACTGCAACTACCAATTTCATAGCCACTTTCCACATCAACAGTAAATGGTTGATTCTCTAATCACAGGTTTTTGATCGAGTACTTCTTTACAGTGAAGTAAAGTTGAGGAAGAATAAAATAAGAATATCTAGCCTCATTTATCTCACATGTGATGAATGTTAGAGATGGATAAAGATCTCCGTGGTTATGACCTGGAAGTGTCAGCACTAGAAATCTGTGTTTAATTACTTTTACAGACAAACTGGGTTTCTCTTGAATATATTGAGTTTACCAGGTGTAATCACGACATGGATGTTGACGTGGACAGTATTTACAAGTTGGAAACTGCTTTTTTAGTAATTCCGACCTGACTATGGCTACAAACAGTGTGGAGAGAAATATGCAAAGGCAAAAATATATAAGGCAAACCCTATGGCCGAGGAGTGAAGCCGAAGTTGAGATGCTTTAAAGCAATGAACTAATAAAGAGGGCGCTGATGTTTAGCAAAAGCAACATATGCAACGTTTTCTGTACAACAGCGCTCTCTATAGCCAATGTAATGAAATAACTCATTCTGTTGGGCACTAAGCCTGAGCTGTTTTCATGGAGCGGACGCCTCTGATTATCTACCTGCTCAATACAGTTCAGAATAAAAGAAACACAATTCTCCCTGCAGGTATAATATATAATGCTTTTTAAGATGCTAAGTAAAAATACATAGTTGCATGTTGTAGTTCCAAGCTGCAGTGTCAGCAATGGCCACTAGATGTGCTCAGACGCCACAGAAATCCCTTGAAATGTTCCATCACACCTTCTACTAGCAATTATATGAATGACTGTTTATTAATGGGAGTATCAAGGTTTATTCATGTCATTGATTGACAGGCTTCTCAGTCTATCACACTCTGCTGCAGCTTCTTCGTCCCTCCTCGGTACCTCTCAGGCGTCGCGGCTCCAGTCGCTGACAGAGACGAAAGCAAACTCGGATGAGAGCTTCCAAACATCAGCTCGGAAGATTGTGCGTGATGTCACAAATGCTATGTCCATGTTGTCTAAGGTTCGGAATGACAGCAGGAGATCTTTGGACCTGTAGCAGCCACACTGTGACTTCGGCTGGGAGGACGGATTCATTTTACATGAAAGTCTCGGCTTTTGCAGTTTTAATTAGGACACTCAAGAGTTAGAAACTCACTTAGCTTGTTGACAAGTCTCTGAGTCTTTTACAGTCTTGTTGCCTGACAAAAAAAAAGAGCGCGAGTCTGCGCAGGCAACTGCATCCCACGCTGATTTATTCGTCTGTCTCAGCGGAGAGTCGGTGCGATCACTTGGTGCTGGTGTCTTGCTACTGCTTCTTTTGAGGAAGATGACTCATCTCCTCTCAGTAGCTGCTCTCATGTCCGGTGAGGATGTACAGGTTGCTCAGAGCTGACGGGTCATGTGTGGGTGTGCTCTGCAGGATAATGTCCCTGTGCGTAGAGAGAGGAGAGAAGTCTCATCCACACAGCATGAATCAACTGCCACCAGAGGAATGCAGAGCTCGCTTTAAGTTTAGGATGCGTTATTTTCGCTGTACCAACATCAATGCTATTACCACTAATGCATGTATTAATATTACAATTTATACTACTACTATCATTAATACTACTGCTATACTAACACTATTTATCCTACCAAGGCTTCTACTACCCATGCAAGCACTGCTACCATCATAGCTACTATGTCTAATGGTACAACTGGTACTACTCCTATCGTTACCAGTACTACTGCCATTATTACTACTTTTCAACTCCCCTCCTCAGAGAATGACGCTGATGTCGGATTACTGTGGACGTACCTGCTCGTTCCCAAAACTCTGAAGACTCGACTCTCATCTGTAATCTCTTGTGTTACCTGCAGGTGAAGGTGAAAGGTTATAGACAAGGCAGTGCACATTAGCGGGAGTGACATACACAGGACATCACATTGATCACGTATGTACTCACCTCATTTGAATGAAAACTCTTCCCTTTGAGGCCATGTTTCCAGAAGGCCAGCACACTGTCCTGTAAGCAGACTGTTAAAACACATCACGTCAGCCGAGTGTCGGCAGCAACATCAAGTCTCACTCACTGGGTTTTTACACAGGCGTGTTTCTACCTAGTGTTTCGATGGGGAAGTCAAAGACCATTTCAGCAGCCAGCTCTTTGGATGGAAGTCCTCGCAGGTTCACAATCCGAACAGTTTCTGTCCAATGAGCATTAACGGTCAGTTACAGTGGATTAAGAGTCGGTGTGAGAGACGGCTGGAGATTTAAGAACATGCATTGAGATAGACTTACTTTCTACCGCGATGAGGACGGTGTCCCTGTCCAGTTGGGTCACCTGCTCCGCCCTCAGTGCTCCACCGTCTGCAGACGCACAGAGAGACAAAGAGATTTTACTTTCACCCTTGAGCTGAGCTGCACCAGCTGCAGTGGAGGAGCACAGCGGCCAGTCCTACCTGGTACTGAAACAGGGGTGCCGTTCAGCTCGATGATATCAAACTGGAGCTGCTGGCTGGTCGGGGGTTTCCCGTTACCGCAGTCTCTCACTCCGACGCACAGCTGGGGGAACTCGTCTGTTACCAACACCAGCAGCTCAAAGACTGGCAGGGAGTCCGGCAGCTTCATCGCGATGTGCTGCGGGTGGAGCAAGAACAGTCAAGTTATAAAATGGTAACATCATGACATCATCATGTGAGGACACAGCTGTGAGGTTTCCAACCACTGTTCAACGCATATCAGCGTATAAGGTTATTTATTAATCGTAAACATATAAGACAATTAGCATTTTCTAGAAATGAACACACTTTATTAAAAGCTGTACAGTTTATATTGTTTAAACATCCTTCACATCTTATCTTTTAATAGACAGATGCATGGATGTCTGTTTCCTTTATTTTGTTTAAATGTGAAATGATTTTGTAATAAATAATATGTGATAATTATATAATAACTAATATTATATGTACTGCAAATGGACTGGTGTTCACAGTGCAGCAGGGAGGAACCAAACCTGAAAACTGATCCGACCAGGAGGAACATTCCAACTCAGACTTATTTAAAACTTCTTAATGAGGCAGAAATGTAATGAAATTGGTTTGGTTCAAATTTATCATTACCCCAGCTGATTCTTAATAATATTCTAGAATAGCACTCGAGTACAATCCACGCATGAAACATATTTAAATATACTATCAGTCCCCTAAACACTTTTTCTCATCAAGATCCATGAATTAACGAATACTACATAACTCCCCCAATAATGGAAATACAAAAAGCTTCATATCTCACTGAAGAGCATTGAAAGTGCAACATGTCAGCACAAACCTTTAGATGCATGAACTTCTGGAGAGGCTCATACCACAACAGCAGAACCAGGCCAGACGGAACAGCCCCACACAGAAACGTGCTGTCTGTGTATGGGTTTCTTGCTGAGAGAAGATAAATGAGTCAGTATTTGTTAATGCTTTAATATCATTGCGTAAATTCTGCATCACTTACCTACGCTACATGTCCTACAGCCTTTAGTGTCGGGGATCTTCGCCGATATGGCAAACTTTCTGCGGAACCAGAGATAATAGGCTTTTAGCTCGAGCTCGTGTTTTCATTTAAAACTAAATCCAAAGTAACTAACATCCTGCCCTACCTGGTGCTGATCCTCTCAGTAAAGCGGTTTGTGCTGAGCGACAGACTGCTGTGTTTCTTCTGCACGTGTCCTCCCTGTTCAAACAGAGCCGTCAGACTGTGGGAATAAAGCTGCGACGACTTCCCTGCGGGACAGAGATTTTATTATAGCGATGGATAAAATACAAAACTCTGTGTTCTCTGGTAAAAAAAAAAACCACACAAGTTGATGGGATTTGTTACCTGAGACAGACATCAGCACATTGTTCATCACATATAGCCACGTGCAACGCTGAGGCAGCAGCTGCAGGAAGATAGAAAAGACAAATCAGTGGACTTTTACTATGAATAAATTGCATACATCTATATATCCCAACAATGGAGGTAGGGAGAACATCTTAAACTTTAACAGCTAAGTGGGGATTAAGCTCAAGGTCAAAATAGAGCCCAGAACACATGAACCATCTTTTGTTCCAACATGGTGTCAAATAACAAAGAACCGCTTAAGTGACTCATGTTTACACTGAGCTATACTACAGTGTATTACAGTATATGTTAAATACATGGGTCTGTGTCTGTCTTACCTTCTCTAGTGTATCTTCATGAAGTTCGTTGAGGTTCAGTGTGTAGATGCCCTCCTCTGCCCCGAGAATAAGGTATTGATCTGAGCAGGAAATGAAATCATATTTTAATTCAAAGGTTTTTACTGCACCATAAAACAAGACAATCCAATACATGTGGTGTAATTTGTCCAGTTGATGTGATTTCTTATGGAGGATCACAAGTGTCACGAAAAATGAAAATAGCATTAAATTAATTACTGACTAATTGAATAATAAACATAGGCATTCATTAATTTGTTGACAAATTAAAGTATCAATCTATAAATATATATATTTATATATACGTGTATAAACTGTATATAAATATATATATATATATATAAATTCTTAATCCAGATTGTGAAGCCCGTTATTTATTTCTTTTTAAACCTTAATTTCTAGATTTTTCATTTCAGTGACTTATCTATAAATGAATAAATAAATTATTAATGTATTTTGACATTATGCTCTTATTGACGGACAGTTTTATGTTGTTTTATATATTGAATTATTTATTAACAGATTTTATAATTCCTCTTTTATTGCCCCTTACAATTTCAAAAGTCATTCAGTCCTTTAATTATAGATTGGTAGGTGAATTTTATTTAATTGAATGATGGTATGCTTTACTATTATTTCAATGACACTTGTGGTCCTCTATAATCATTTCTAGCCAAACTCATCGAAGAAAACTCCCCCTCAGGTTTTCAGGACTCTGAGAAGACGTCACTGTCTTACCTCTTGTTTTAGGTAAAATCCAGGTGACAGCACAGTGGATTTGAAGAGGACAACCATTGAAGACTTTGGAGAAGCAGGCTCCCATCTACAGGGGCGGCACAGTGCGTTAATCACTCACGGCCTGCCATGGTTACTGTGACACTTACATTTCTTTAAAATGTACTTCGCTTGAAACAAAAGAACATGTGTGATTAACTATTTCATTTCAAGTTGCAGTTGGATACTTTGCATATTCATGACTCCTACCATAGAGAGAGAGAGAAAGAGAGGGAGAGAGAGAGAGAGAGAGAGAGAGAGGGGAAATATGCACACACTGATTCATTGTGAAGCTGCAGCAGGTCAGAGGACGTCAGATTAGTTGGTGCCGCTTCAACAGGGACACATTTGCGTTCACAGAACTAAAAGAATGTGGCCACATGCATCCCAGACCACCTTCAAATGAGTTCTGAGTGATTGGATCTCAGGATGCATTGCGGACACGCTTTTGGGTGGGTTCAGACTTCATTATACTAACAGGTCTGAACGGGGGTGTCTGGCATAAAAACCTTTCCAAGAGCAACTCATATCTCGCCATGCAAAATTTGTCATGTTAGTCATCAAAGCATTGCCTTTGGTCAAGTTTCACTGTAGGTGGCATGCTGTTAGATTTCACACTTACATGGACTTGAGGGGTAGGAGGAAGTCCATGACAGTCAGCCCTCTAGAAATGTCAAGGGGTTACAGGGAACAAAACAAAGGGGAGGATAGAAACTGTCCATCAAACACAAAAAAATCTGCATCTTCGGTTGCATGATTTGTCATCTTACAGACACACAGACTTTTAAAGGAAAATCATTCAATCATTAGGAAGTTATTCGGTTAGCAAATCACACAAGCTCATTGATATTTGCTTCTGTTATCAAGACACGGATGTCTGGTTTGAACTCACAGAGTTCTCCGTTTGTTTCCTTAGTGTGCTCCATTCAGGTGACAGCGGTGTCTCTTGTTTCGCAGAAGAAACATTGGTAACCCTCCTCTTTTCTGGTGTTACAGCGTCCCCCGCAGGCAGACATGGATTACTGCACCGCTGTCTGATGTCCTGTGAGGCTGAGCACCTAGCCAAGGCTAATTAAACAAAAAAAAAAAGTTGGACCCGCAAAGCTTTTCTTAGTTACTGAAAATCTGACATGTCGGGTATAGAACATGATCCCCTATAGGAGCAGTGTGTCGTACCTGTAGTGGAGGGGGAGTCAGCGGTGATGGCGGCGTCAGGGCCAAGTGTGCAGCTCGGTCTCAGCGTCTGGTCTTTGTCGTCTGTGTTGGGAGTTAAAGAGCTGAAGGCCGGCAGGGACGCTGTAGACGGACTGAACAGACCACTCTTCTTACCTCCCTAAACAACAACAGCAAACACATGACTCACGCTGAAGAGATGCGGGTATAAAACGTCTACATACCCCTGTTAAAATGCCAAGTTTTTGTTATGTTAAGAAATTAGCTTTTAACGCCTTTAACGTGACCTATAACCTGTACGATTCATTTGAAAAACGAAATGAAGTCTTTTAGGGGGAAAAGGTACAAATAAAAAGCTATAATAATGTGGTTGCAGTACTCAGTGTTTTTGGGTAGGAGTCTGTCAGCATGGCACATCCTGACTGGTCATCTTGAATCCAATCGGATTCAGGTCTGGGCTGTGACTGGGCCATTGCAAAACTTGAATCTTCTTCCGGTAAAGCCATTCTTTTGCTAAATGTGGAAGTATGCCTTGGGTGGCTGTTAAGCTGAAATGTTTTTTTTGGACTAGTATTTCGAACGTTTCATAATTCAAAGCCCCAGTTTCAGCAGAAAGAAAAAAGCCCCAAAAACCGATGCTACTGATGCCACCCCCACTGTGGGTGATGCTCTTCTGTGCCAAACACACCTTTAGGAATTATGGCCAAAAGGTTCAGCCTTGGTCTTATCAAACCATAACACATTTTCTCACATACTTTTGGGAGACTTGATGAGACTTGGCTTTTGCCACATTTAACCAGGCTTGGAATGTTTTTCTTTGTAAGTCTTCTATCTTGCCTCCCTACCCCATAGCCCACAAAATAAGAATATGGGAGAAAGTCCTGCAGCTCCCGGACCAGTTTTCTTCTTGTCCTTTCATCAGTTCTGGAGTGACGTCCAGTTCTTGGTAATGTTTTCTCCACTCTCCATATTTTGTCTAGTCATTGATGACGGTCTTCACTGTGTTCCATGATATATCTAATGCCTTGGAAATCTTTCTTCACCTGACTGATACATTTAAACAATGAGATCCCTCTGAAGCTTTGAAATGTCTTTGTTTGGCTTTTATTGTAAGATGCAACTAAATAAATGTCCTACTAGAACTTACTGCTATTTTACATGAGGTTGAATGTTATTGGTTAATTCTGAACACAGCCACATCCCCAATTATAAGAGGGTGTGGCCACTAATACAACCACAGTTCACCCACTAAAAGATTTCAGCTTGTGTACAGATTGTAAGGTTACATTAAAGGTGAAAAAAGTTCTGACATGATTTATCTTGATCTCGTTTTTTTTACATCACAACAACCTGGCATTTTAACAAGGGTGACTTTTTATATCCACTGTACACCATGTTATAATGTTGACATCCCTATTAATAGAACACCAATAAATATTTTGTTTGTTTGTCTGTCTGACTGACTGTTGTGCAGACTCATGGTTGTTAATAAAGTAAATGTACAATTTGTTTTTATATCTACCACCATCAACAGGTCAAAATGTACATTTCTTTAATTCTTAAAATGATCCCTTTAAATGTAAATACCATCAGCCTCAGGTGTACCTATAAATAATTGCTGATACAGTAAAGATTGTATGCTAATATTTGCTGCAAACACAATAATTGTTATTACATGGAAAGATTTTCTACTTTCTGGAAATAGATTGGCTTAGGAAAAGTGCACACAGCAGATTACAGGGAGAAAGAAGATTGTTCAAAGCTGGAGGTATAAATATCATAATTTTACTAGTTTAAAAAGGTTTAATAACAAGCCAAAACTTTGTGAACGCCCCAAAGCAAGGCTGAACTGAGATAAGATGTTTCAAATCTGAAACAGAGAAATCCTGCTTAATGACAGGCCTCTGTTTTATTCTTTGCGATGCTCGGTTTAACACTGGGGTTGTGACTGGGGGTGTGAAACATAGGTGGAGCAGTATATTCCACATCTGTCGTAAAAAAAGACAAAGTGAAAGAAATAACACAGATGCTGAGATCTGTTGTTTCAGTTGTTTCCAAAAGTTGATGAAATGCAACAGACACAATTAACTCCTACATTCTTAATTTATTTAGTAATGTATGTGGTCTTATATTGTTGAGTCACTTGGTAAAATCCTTCTACAGTACTTGTTTCTAATCTGCCTGTGCTTTGTATTTTTTTTTTTCAGGTGGATACACTTAAAACTTGGACTCAACGTGAAAGTACAACACATCTCTCAGTTTATAGCAACAGTGGTTACCACTTACGTCAGTAGATGGCGCCCTCCTAATGGTTAAACTTCTGCAAGACAAGGGGCAACAATGTTGTGATCAGAATCACTTCATGTACTGAGAACATCGTCATGACAACAAGATGGACAACGAAGGCTGAAGAGGCTGAGGGCAGGGTGACAGCGGCACATACACAAAAATCGAGACGAAACACCGCAAACAAACAAACAAAACAAAAAAATAAGGCAGACAAAAGCCCAAAAAGCTGAGAACCAGCGGGTTTGTGCTGAATCTGCACCACATGAAGAGGGACAGCAGGACTGTGGGGTCTGGGGATGGGATTAGCAGGGGATGAGCACAAACCCACTGACTATGTCAAAGAAATTGGCGTTAGCTGATATTTACATGATTAAAAAACAAAAATCAATCAACACAAGCAGCTTATTTCAGGTAAATTCATGTGGGACGGCGGGACACTGCTGTTAGGAGATGCTGGAGGTGATGGACGTGTCCTACCTCAGCTGCAGAGCTTGCTCCACACATTCCAACAGGCTCCTGCAACAGGAAGACCTGGTGTTTATCTGACTACGGGCCTGAATGGCCCATAACAATGGGAGGGAAGGAACCAGAGGTCGACTCCTATCGGTTCCTGAAGCCCGATAGTCATGCTGATATATGAACAGAATCAAAAAGCTCTATCTCCTGTTACTCTGTGTCACATTATATTATAATCCTGGTTGGTAATGAACTCCTGTTTTGGCCATCCTACTATCACTAAATAGAACATTATACTCACTAGATTCATCTCTAAGAAGAGCTGTTGTCAGGTAGAATTGGATTTTCTGGTTAAAAGGT